GTACAGTTTCTTCTTTTTCCTCAACAGCTTCAATAAATCAACTGTAAATTAAGACTTTTTGAAGTCTTGACTGTATTTCTTGGTAGAACTTCCAACTTGAAAACAGTTCTGATATCAAAAAGTATTTTCCTCATATAAATCATCCCATGAAATACTAGTTAATGTATCTTAAAAATCTTGAATTTAGAAATATTTGACTTGCTCTTCATTCTTGTACAGTTTGTATATGTATACATATATAAATACACACTATATATCTGAGATGAGTCTCTGTGTTTCAGCCTGATGTGATCATCCACTGTGCAGCTGAGAGACGTCCAGATGTTGTGGAGAGACACACTGAAGCAGCTGTTAATCTCAATGTACACGCCACGAGCATGATTGCCAAGGAGGCAGGTGGGTGATCACCAGAGGCCTCGTGTATAAAAGACTGTGTAGCTTTCATACTGAAAAAAGGCATACTCAGAAAGCTTGAAAAGTACATACACAAAGAAATATCCACATGTACAAAACCAGGCGGACACCAGGTCGTGTGCACGTTTCCTTTATACATCCCAATCAATGTGAAATTGGCTGCATGTGAACAAGCCACTGACCCCACCTTGCCTCGACCCATAAATTACTATAAAATGACTATAAATATGCCTGTGCTGTTCTCTTCTGTCCAAATCACAATGGACAAAACTTCACAGAGAAGGGGAGATGGAGGTGGTGATCACTGAGGTGGAAGTCATACAGATATTTTATCTGGTGGTTTGTCCTCTGGAATAAGCTAAATCTACAGAGTGGTTCAGAGAACTGTACAGTGGCAGAATAATGGTCTGATATCAAGGTGGATTTCAAAGTCTGCACATCGGAAAGAACTGATGCCACATGGTAAATGGACTGTAATTGTATTGTGCCTTTCTAGTCTTCTGACCAGTCAAAGTGCTTTTACACTAAATGCATTAAACTTACCCAACCCTTCACACAGTGATGACCTGTCACAAACTCACATTCATCCACCAACGCACAACATCAGGAGCAATTTGACGTTCAGTGTGTTGCTGCAATTAGAAGCATCCTGCCAGCATGTGAGGGCGACTCAGACATGTACGTTGCTCCTGGCTGTATGACTGCTGCACTTGTTTGTGTGTGTGTCTCCGAAGTGAAGTTAGTAACATGCATCAATGGGACATGAATGAGTGCAGAAAGAGAGAGAGAGAGAGGAAGAGAGGAGTTCAGTGCATCATGGGAAGACATCCATCTCTATCTCTATCTCTGTAACATCCATCTCTATAAATGGTAAATGGACCTGTACTTGTGTAGTGCCTTTCTAGTCTTCCGACCACTTAAAGCGCTTTTACACTACATCAACATTCACCCTTTCACACATATTCACTCAGGGATGGCAAAGTCCATCGAACATACACCTATGCACAGCATTTGATACTTTGACATGTGGCGACAGGAGCCGGGAATCGAACCAACAACCTTCTGATTAGAGGACGACCCGCTCTTCCTCTGCGTCACAGCCGCCATCTGTAACATTTGTCTCTATCTCTGTAACATCTGTGTACAGCTGCCTGCAGGGCGTTCTTCCTCTACATCAGCACTGACTACGTTTTCGATGGGAGGAATCCTCCGTACGGAGAAGACGACAGTCCGAATCCTCTCAACGTTTATGGACGCAGCAAACTGGAGGGAGAGAGAGAGACACTCAGACACTGTCCAGGTATCATTCTTTCTACCTGTTTGTCTCTCACCTGTCTGCCGACCTGTCTTTCATCTGTCTGTCTTTCCACCTGTTGGTGTTCTTACCTGTCTGTCTTTCGTACCGTTGGTCGGAGCTCAGATTGTCTGTCTCCAGTTATTGATGTGTGTGAAGGTTAAAAATACACAATGTGAATATAATCTGCACATGAATGTTTCAACCAATGTCTCAAACACAACTTCAGAAAGTGAGACAGACAGACAGACAGCTCTACCTGCTGGTTTGAACAGAGAATTGTTCATAAAATGAAACAGTATTTCTGGCAGATAAAAAGTGATTTTCTCTGATTTACAATCATTGAGATATTTTGTGCATTAGAGGATCTTTATGTTTACTGCTGGGTGATATACTGGTTTTAATTTTTTATGTACCTACATACTGTACACTCTCTTGTTCAATAGAACATGAGAGAAATATCTGAGTATTTTATGTCCATTTAAACTGTTTATATTTGAACATACTTAATTTAGAAAAGGAAGTAATGGTAAAGATCTGTTTGCACAATAAACACATCAGAATCAGAATCAGAATCAGAAATACTTTAATAATCCCCGTGGGGAAATTACTTGAAAGGTGGGTACAAGAAACAAGAAAAACAAGAGGAGAGGGGAGGGAAAAA